CTGTGGTCACATTAAAGCTTCTTTATATGTGTCACATGGCGTCCTGAGGGAACGTTGGTTTTCAGCTCTTCACTTCGGGTCGTTTCCGTCTCTTTCGCTGGATCACCGTCTCAAAATATTCATACTGCGACTCCAGAGACGTCTTATGATCTGGTCTCACTTCCTGCTATAAACACTTCTACAGGACGGTTCCTGCTGAGTCAGCAGAGACTCGCTCTGTGGTGCATTGTGGGATTTTATAACTGAACTAATCTGATGGTTCAGACAAACAGAGACATTGATGGCAGAGACAGTGAAAGTGTCCATCAGGCTGCTGTCGGTCCAACCGTCTGTCAGTGGACGCAGGAGGTAGACGGCGTCTCACAGAGTTGTCTGTCCTCGCTCAGTAGAGACGAGTGGATCTCCACGTTGCGTTTGTGGTTCTTGCTGTTCCCGTGTTTCCTGATGTTGTCGACCTTGAAGGTCTGGCTACCTTTGATCAAAGCCATGTTCTGGTGGGTTTTGGCGGAGTACAGGCGGCACACGTGGCACCACATCTGGTTGAGGGCCGGCGAGTAGCAGAGGAACCAGAACATGCTCAGCCAGACCTTATTGAAGCGAGGCGGCTGACGCTTGGACCGGATGTCCCGAGAGACCACAGGGGCGCTGGGAGTGGACTCTACGGCCGAGTCCTCGTCCTCAACCCCGGTACCGGACACCCACTGAGGAGAGAGAGGCTCCATCCCTGTGAGGACAGACAGACACGTTTAACCTTCATCATCATCATCATCATCATCATCATCAACTCTTCTAACTGTAACAGAAACTCACAATTAGAGTCTCTCTCCTCTATCTGGACCGGGTCGGGACTCTGCAGGTCCTGGTCTGGCTGGAGGGGGGGCTCGTTGATGACGGGTGAGACCTCCTCCTGTGGTTCTGTGAAACGAGACAGCTTCTCCTGCAGCTCTGTGATCGTCCTCTGCAGTCTGACACAGTCCTCACAGGAGGAGGAGGAGGAGGAGGAGGAGCTGGGAGGAGGAAGGTTAAAGTTCAGCTGCACACTGAAGTCCCCGGAGCCGGAGGACCGTTTGGCTGCGAGGGCCCGGGACCTGCTGGAGGCCTCCAGAGAGGCTTCGAGAGCGCCTCTGAAGAAGTCCTGAAACAAACAATTAACGTTAGTTTATAAAAAAGAACAAATGTCTTCGTGGCGTCGGCTGATAGCGGCGAGCTAGGATGATGCAACAGGACGCTGACAGTCTTACTCTGAAGCTGAGGGAGTTCTGGTCCACTGCAGCGGGCCGCGTTGTGTCTTCAGGCGGTTTGCTGGTGTTGGTTTGTAGAACCGACTGCAGCACAGACTTAAGTTCTCTCCAGGCCGGTCTCACTGCAACGCCTGTACAGAAAAACTGATTTTAGATAAATCGATACAGGATGTTTCTGTAAACTCAGTGAATGAACACTGAAGCTCACCTGGTAGACCTGGACCTGGACCTGCACCTGGAGCTGCATGTACCTCAGCTGAGTCCTTACTGCACTGGGTTTCAGTCTGACCTATGGGCCTCTGATCGCCCCCCTTTCTCTCTCCTCGTTTCCGGTTCACCTTGAGCCGACCTGTCACTGAATGGCAGAAAGAATAATTCTCATCGTTCCTCTGAACACTTCCCGTCTGTATCAGCGCTGCGCAGTAACTCGTCTGACCTGTAAATGAATCATTCACTGAATCTGCAGAAATATATTGAGATATTTATCGTTATCGGGACAGAAGCCGTCAGTCAGAGGCGAGATTAAAAATCCTCATTCTGTGTGATTTTAA